ATCATACACCACTCATCATACACCACTCATCATACACCACTCATCATCCACCACTCATCATACACCACTCATCATACACAACTCATCATCCACCGCTCATCATACACCACTTATCATACACCACTCATCATACACCGCTCATCATACACCACTCATCATACACCACTCATCATCCACCGCTCATCATACACCACTCATCATACACCACTCATAATACACCACTCATCATACACCACTCATCATACACACCTCATCATACACCACTCATCAAACACCACTCATCATACACCACTTATCATACACCACTCATCATGCACCGCTCATCATACACCACTCATCATACACCACTCATCATACACCACTCGTCGCACACCACTCATCATACACCACTCATCATACACCACTAGTGAGATGACTCAGATTTCGTGGCAGGCGCAGCACTTTGTGAATCTCCATGTGCAGATTTCGTGGCAGGCGCAGCACTTTGTGAACCTCCATGGCAAGATTTCGTGGCAGGTGCAGCACTTTGTGAACCTCCAGGTGCAGATTTCGTGGCAGGTGCAGCACTTTGTGAACCTCCATGTGCAGATTTCGTAGCAGGCGCAGCACTTTGTGAACCTCCATGTGCAGATAGCGGACGCGCGAAACGCTGTATTTTTCAATAGAGCCGGTGGCTTCAATCCTGGCAAGTCTAGCTCTGCGGAACGACGGGTGCGAGACGGTCTCGGGTCATGCTCATGGTCGGAATCGTCCCTCCATTGGGATTAGAGTTTTCACTTGTTTCTCGAAGTGCAGATTTCGTGGCAGGCACAGCACTTTGTGAACCTCCATGTCCAGATTTCGTGGCAGGCGCAGCACTTTGTGAACGTCCACGCGCAGATTTCGTGGCAGGCGCAACACTTTGTGAACCTCGAGGCGCAGATTTCGTGGCAGGCGCAGCACTTTGTGAACGTCCGTGCGCAGATTTCGTGGCAGGCGCAGCACTTTGTGAACGTCCATGCGCAGATTTCGTGGCAGGCGCAGCACTTTGTGAACCTCCATGGCAAGATTTCGTGGCAGGTGCAGCACTTTGTGAACCTCCAGGTGCAGATTTCGTGGCAAGAGCAGCACTTTGTGGAGCTCCATGTGCAGATTTCGTGGCAGGTGCAGCACTTTGCGAACCTCCATGTCCAGATTTCGTGGCAGGTGCAGCACTTTGTGAACGTCCATGTGCAGATTTCGTAGCAGGCGCAACACTTTGTGAACCTCGAGGTGCAGATTTCGTGGCAGGCGCAGCGCATTGTGAACCTCCAGGTGCAGATTTCGTGGCAGGCGCAGTGCTGTGTGGAGCTCCATGTGCAGATTTCGTGGCAGGTGCAGCACTTTGTGAACGTCCAGGTGCAGATTTCGTGGCAGGCGCAGCACTTTGTGAACCTCCATGCGCAGATTTCGTGGCAGGCGCAGCACTTGGTGAACCTCCGTGTGCAGAATTCGTGGCAGGCGCAGCACTTTGTGAACCTCCACGCGCAGATTTCGTGGCAGGCACAGCACTTTGTGAACCTCCAGGTGCAGATTTCGTAGCAGGCGCAATACAAAATGCGTTTTGGAGAGACAGCGGACGCACGCAATGCTGTATTTTTCAATAGAACCGGTGGCTTCAAACCTGGCAAGTCTAGCTCTGCGGAACGACGGGCGCGAGACGGTCTCGGGTCATTCTCGGATCATGCTCGGGTCATGGTCGGGCATGGTTGGAATCGTCCCTCCATTGGGATTAGAGTTTTCGCTTGTTTCTTGAAGTGCAGATTTCGTGGCAGGCATAGCGCTTTGTGAACCTCCATGTCCAGATTTCGTGGCAGGCGCAGCACCTTTTGAACGTCCATGTGCAGATTTCGTGGCAGGCGAAACACTTTGTGAACCTCAAGGTGCAGATTTCGTGACTTCGAGGTGCAGATTTCGTTGCAGGCGCAGCAATTTGTGAACCTCCATGTGCAGATTTCGTGGCAGGTGCAGCGCTTTGTGAACCTCCATGTGGAGGTTTCGTGGCAGGCGCTGCTGAGAACTGGCGAGTTTCTAGTACAACTTTAGTACGCGGAGCAATCTGTAGAGCTGGAAGCTGAGAACTGGCGACTTTCTAGTACAACTTTAGTACGCGGAGCCATCTGTAGAGCTGGAAGCTGAGAACTGGCAACTTTAGTACGCGGAGCAACCTGTAGAGCTAGACTTTCTAGTGCAACTTTAGTACGCGGAGCAATCTGTAGAGCTGGAAGCTGAG